TGATCGTAATACAAAAACGATGTTTTTGCAAAAATTATTTTCAAAGGCAACGGTAGAAACGATTGTTGAGAGTGTTGAGTGCTGTTGTTGTTGTTGATAGGCTGTTTGTGATCGTGTTGGTGGGCTAGTGGGTTAACTGGTTGGTGGCGTTGATGAGCGTTTAGTTTAACATTTCAGCTTAGCGGTATTAAACGTGCGTTGACTAACAAGCATTGAACGTTACGGTTTAAACAAATTTGAAAAAAAAGTGAACGAAATTTTAAACGAAGAAAAAAAGAAACGGAAAACCTTGTTAGTTTTAATTAAAATGCAAAGAAAGTGAAATTAATTTAAAGCTAAAGAATAGAAATATAAGAAAATATGAAATAATTTTTTATAAAAAATTAGAGTTAAATTAAAAAAATTCAGTGTTAGTGTTTAAATGTATCAAAATGAATCCCATACAAGAAGAATCTGAACAACGTATACCTCTCATGGTGAATTCTTTAGATGAGACTAACTCAAATATACCTTATGCTGATGACAATAAATCCAATGATAATTCTGTTCCCCCCAGTCGCAAAGTCTCTTTAAGTAGTAGACGTAATGTTGATCTAACTTTACAAATAGAAAATGATTCGAGTATTGTTAATAGTACAGCAGACTCGGGTAATAATTCACCTAAAACTGCCTCAGATGAATCGACGGCTATGGAAACACCACCTTTGCCATTGCCGCGTGGTTTACGTCGTAATTCGATATCTATGCCTTCGGGCATTAATGCCATAGAGGATTTGGAAGCTTTAAGGCTGAAACATCAAATGCAGGAACAAGAACCAGTACCGGAAGAGGAGAAGAGTAATAGTCGAACGGATAGTGTAAGTTGTTTTTCTTTTTGTCAATCTTCTGCAGGCTTCCAAAGTACTTTTGAAACGAAAATTTTGGAAACGATCTTTATTAGGACATATTACTCCATTATAAGTTGGAATAACGCAAAGTATTAGAAAATTAGGAAATCACATCTTCGAGCGAAAACAAAACGCGTATATGTATTTACAGTTACAACAACAACATGACCACTTTGCATGTTTCGACCACTAAGACCCATGTTAGTCTATCAGTAATGAGTTAAATCGGGATCTAAAGAGATTTTAAAATACGACTACAGAACAAGTTATAGATAAATTCCCTTCTCTGAAATACCTCAAAACTTTATACAATTAAATCGCTCTACATTACACCCTCCCTAAGAACCATTTTAGTCGATTAGAATAGAGGTAAATTGGGATCTCATATAGTTTTTTTTCTATGTCGCGAGAAGTATGCACCGAAATCGACCTATTGATTAGATTAATACAGAAACCTGTTGCGAATATTCCAAAAAGATAATATTCATTCCCTCCTAGAAGTTGGTTACAGATCCTCTTCATATAAAGTATAAGACCGAGAACCTAAAATACGACTACAGAACAGGTTATGTGTCAATTAACTTCCCTGGATTAGCTCCAAATATTAAGAAATTAAATCACTCGGTTTGAGTACATCACTCTCTTTCTAAGACCCATTTTATCCAATCAGAATTGAGGTAAATCGGGATCTCATATATTTTTTGTATTTCGCAAAAACCTTGCACGGAATTCGACCTTTTGATTAGGTTAATACAGAAACCTGTTCCGATTATCTAAAAAGAGAGTGGTATTTCTCTCGTAGAAGTTGGTCGATAATCCTCTTCAGTATAAGAACGAGAATCTATATAAAAGCGGGATTCTAAAACACGACTCCACAGAATCAGAAGTAGTTACGTGTCAAGTGCCCACCCTTAGTTAGTTAGTTTGAAAGGAGGTGAAAGAAATACCCCTAGACCTCTATTGGGCCTGTTGTGCGCTTGTTACCTCAGATGAGAATCGAACGCACTACCTCCGGTCTACCAGACTAGAACACTAACCACTAACCTACCGGAGGCCACAATTCCCCTCCCTTATTAGAAGTTGTTTGGATGTGATTTGCATCCAATGTTTTTCCAACACTTCGACCCTCGTAGTCGTAAAGTTATTATTTTATTTCGTAAAAGTTATAACAACATTTCATTCTCATTGTAAATTTAATTCTTTAATTGCGATTTATGTGTCTTCTTAATAACATTTTAATAATGTGTGAATTGCATTTGAAACACAAAATAATATCAATTAAAAAGCTTTATTTTTGGGCCGTCTTTTTTTAAAATTTCATTTACATATTTTTAAAAAATTATTAAAAGATAATGGCAATAAAGAGAAGATCTTCAGGTCAGGACAATTAAAAGAATTAGTTCCACAACGTGTACGAATACGGCTTGAAACAATTGCGCTTTAGGATTAGTTTAATCTTGTATCAAGTACGTATTGGACTTAAATCAAGACAATAATTATTAAAACTAAAACGTGCGAAGATCACTTTGATCCCAAACAGGCTTAAATCAAACTTTGATTAATGTTCGGACTTGTATTTTGTACTTGATTCTAGTTAAACCGTTCCGTCAAGTACGGATTTTTTATTATTTTTTTTTTTTTTTGAGTAAGTTCCTTAGAATATTAAAATCAGTGATCCTGTGGGGCGTAATATCGGTAACAACAAGGTTTTGGATTACGCCGCCCAAAGCCTTTCAATGACAAAGTTTCGTCTGTCCAACTTTATATAGTTATAGACTCTACTTCCCAAAAACTTAATTTAAGTTATAGGCGTACTAAAAACACACTTTAAAATATCTTTTAGTATGCTCCAGATTGGCTTTGCTTTGACGTCTTAAAAAAACACTATTTCTTCTCTCACAAGAGATTTATGATCTCTAAAATCTGTGTTAAAAGAAAATGGTCACCAAGATAATATCCATCAAAAATAAGAGTTATACAAACTTAAATAGCAACATTATGACGTTAGCATTTATAAAAGTCCCACGATCATAAATCTATTTCAAATGATCAAGATAAAATTCTGAGTAAATAGATTTCACGTAAACTGAAATCATACATGAATATATGATTACAAAATTTCATTTATGATACAAAAATGGAATGATGAACATTTTTGATAATTCATATTATAATACGATCTAGATACATCGGCCCTTCTTTTGGCAGCATGACAGAAATTATCTTCTAATTTTCTCCGTTAGTTTGCTAGAAGTTTTAAGTTGACATTGGGTGCTAGGTTGACATACAAGTTTGACATGAGGATTGCAGAAGCTTTAAGGCAAAAAAAGAAGAATCGATATTCCACCATCTAATAGATTCCTTGGTGATTACACTACTTTCAACCTTGCTAAGTTATCTGGGTTTAGACTTAATCACCTACTGAGATACATATATGAGAGCTAAGGGTTGAATCTAATACTACTGCTAATTTATATAGTTAATTAACAATTCAATAAATAAAATTATTTATTTACTTCATTCAAACCCCCGCCATAAAGAAAAAACACTTGTAATACTTGTTGACAAATTTTAATGGTTGTAATAAAAAAAAGTATAACAAGTAAATATTTCAAATCTCAAAGTTTATAACTGTCATAAATCTTTACGATAATATAAATTTATAAAATATAAAGTCATATTTAACTAATGACCAAATAATAACATTTTGATTGTTGTTTTCTTCGTTTTTTTTTTAAAAATTGTGTTGGGAATTAAATTCGTTAAAAAAAGTTAAATTTAATACGAAATCAAAATAAAGAAAATATTTAAATGAAGTAAAAGTATAGATGTTTGTTTTTATATGACGATGACTTAATGTCTACAGAATGTATTTAGATTTTAACAGAGGTTTATAATTGCTGTGAATAATGATTTAATTTAGATTTACTGGTTACCCAGCGCCACTTAAATTATATGTTTTAGGTAAGGGGGAGAGTAAGTGTATGAAACAAATGGAGAGCAAGCGTAGCAGTTATTCACACTCTGCAGGCATGGAAAATTCGGTACTTTAGTTCTTTTTCGGTACTTTTTGATATCGTAAATGTCCCGAGACATTTGCAATACCTTTTCTAACATACATTTTTGATAAATAGTCTTTATAGTAGTCAATAGACCAATTAGTCTATAGTCTAATATAAAGTCTATTTTATAGTTTAGTCTATAGTCCAGTATATAGTCTAGTCTATAGTCTAGTCTATAGTCTAGTCTATAGTCTAGTCTATAGTCTAGTCTATAGTCTAGTCTATAGTCTAGTCTATAGTCTAGTCTATAGTCTAGTCTATAGTCTAGTCTATAGTCTAGTCTATAGTCTAGTCTATAGTCTAGTCTATAGTCTAGTCTATAGTCTAGTCTATAGTCTAGTCTATAGTCTAGTCTATAGTCTAGTCTATAGTCTAGTCTATAGTCTAGTCTATAGTCTAGTCTATAGTCTAGTCTATAGTCTAGTCTATAGTCTAGTCTATAGTCTAGTCTATAGTCTAGTCTATAGTCTAGTCTATAGTCTAGTCTATAGTCTAGTCTATAGTCTAGTCTATAGTCTAGTCTATAGTCTAGTCTAGTCTAGTCTATAGTCTAGTCTATAGTCTAGTCTATAGTCTAGTCTATAGTCTAGTCTATAGTCTAGTCTATAGTCTAGTCTATAGTCTAGTCTATAGTCTAGTCTATAGTCTAGTCTATAGTCTAGTCTATAGTCTAGTCTATAGTCTAGTCTATAGTCTAGTCTATAGTCTAGTCTATAGTCTAGTCTATAGTCTAGTCTATAGTCTAGTCTATAGTCTAGTCTATAGTCTAGTCTATAGTCTAGTCTATAGTCTAGTCTATAGTCTAGTCTATAGTCTAGTCTATAGTCTAGTCTATAGTCTAGTCTATAGTCTAGTCTATAGTCTAGTCTATAGTCTAGTCTATAGTCTAGTCTATAGTCTAGTCTATAGTCTAGTCTATAGTCTAGTCTATAGTCTAGTCTATAGTCTAGTCTATAGTCTAGTCTATAGTCTAGTCTATAGTCTAGTCTATAGTCTAGTCTATAGTCTAGTCTATAGTCTAGTCTATAGTCTAGTCTATAGTCTAGTCTATAGTCTAGTCTATAGTCTAGTCTATAGTCTAGTCTATAGTCTAGTCTATAGTCTAGTCTATAGTCTAGTCTATAGTCTAGTCTATAGTCTAGTCTATAGTCTAGTCTATAGTCTAGTCTATAGTCTAGTCTATAGTCTAGTCTATAGTCTAGTCTATAGTCTAGTCTATAGTCTAGTCTATAGTCTAGTCTATAGTCTAGTCTATAGTCTAGTCTATAGTCTAGTCTATAGTCTAGTCTATAGTCTAGTCTAGTAGTCTATAGTCTAGTCTATAGTCTAGTCTATAGTCTAGTATATAGTCTAGTCTATAGTCTAGTCTATAGTCTAGTCTATAGTTAGTCTATAGTCTAGTCTATAGTCTAGTCTATAGTCTAGTCTATAGTCTAGTCTATAGTCTAGTCTATAGTCTAGTCTATAGTCTAGTCTATAGTCTAGTCTAGTCTATAGTCTAGTCTATAGTCTAGTCTATAGTCTAGTCTATAGTCTAGTCTATAGTCTAGTCTATAGTCTAGTCTATAGTCTAGTCTATAGTCTAGTCTATAGTCTAGTCTATAGTCTAGTCTATAGTCTAGTCTATAGTCTAGTCTATAGTCTAGTCTATAGTCTAGTCTATCTAGTCTAGTCTACAGTCTAGTCATAGTCTAGTCTATAGTCTAGTCTATAGTCTAGTCTATAGTACTAGTCTATAGTCTAGTCTATAGTCTAGTCTATAGTCTAGTCTATAGTCTAGTCTCTAGTCTAGTCTATAGTTAGTCTATAGTCTAGTCTATAGTCTAGTCTATAGTCTGTCTTAGTCTAGTTATAGTCTAGTCTATAGTCTAGTCTATAGTCTAGTCTATAGTCTAGTCTATAGTCTAG